TTATTAACCGCAATGCTGCTATTGCCCACACGCGTGCCCTTATTCACTCATGTGTTGATTGCCTGAGGAATGTCCTACAAGTTTATCACTCTTGCTACCGTGTCCACACTGTTGATACAAATTGTTGACGCTCCAAATTTTTTGTCGCAGGACTTTCCTTCCAACCTAATATAAAGAACTTATCATCAACGTGAAGAGAGAGGTACCAAGGGCGATACCATTCCGCCCAAACTTTTCAGTGCCGAGAACGTCATGCGCCATGTTGGAGGGGAAAGCAAGATCGACGGCCGCTAATTACATCATCTCCGCTTTGCAGATGACATCGTGCTTACAACACCGAATATGGAGCAGGTGAACGAATGCTGGCCAAGTTTGACAGTGCTTGTGGAAAGGCTGGCCTACATCTGAACCTAACGAATGCGATGTTCATGAGAAACGGAATGGTTCCTGGTGCTCCGTTTACGCTGAACGGAAAGGATGTGAATGCTCTAGTATTTAGGTCGGAAAGTGAACATGATGAACGAGTTGTGCAGAATAAAACGCACCGCGTGAGAGCGTTCAAGTGTACTGAGAAAGTAGAGAAAAAGACAAAGAACATCCGGCTCCGCGCTAACCTTTTTGACCTGTCCTTTCTGCTATGACGTACGCCTCAAAGACTTGGATTCCACGAAAGCAGGAAGAACGTGCTGTCAGCATTATTCAACGCGCTTTGGAAAGGACCATGATGCTTGGAATTCTCCTATAGGAAATCTGGAGCTCCAAACTGCGCATCGAACGAAAATCAGGGATGCCGTTGATTACGTCAAAAAAAATCGAAGATCAGATGGGCAGAACACGTTACGCGACACAGTGAATACCGTTGGACCGGGGCGGTTACGGACCGGGTCACTCGAGATGTCAAGCGAGCACCAGGATGGCCGGCTGCCAAGAGATGGTCAGACCTCTTCACGACAGCTCTGAATGAAAATAATGCTGGGCCTCGCATTGCTGAAGCGAGGACGATGCACTGGACCACTCTAGCTCGTGATGTACAAATGGAGACGTTACTGATGCCCGCTCGAGGAAATCGACGAGCAACGGGACGACAGGCGATACAGGATGTATGAGATACATCACAATTGAAGGTGAGGACACCTTTTTTCACGAAGGGAGTAGATACAGCTCCATAACATTTCATAACGTCTGCAGCTCTCTCACTTTGACATCCTGTTTACAGATATTCCTTCCTCTTCCAGTCGCTCGGCAGCTACAGACGCGGCAGACGATATCTTTTGGGTGTTAGGAATCTTACTGAGTTACTAGGCACAACTTGCTCTGGAACGGTTGCTCATTATCAAATAAATTCCGAACATTAAGAGTTCAGCCTTTAGTGACGGCGAGCTTACTCTGTCACGAGGCTCCTATGTAAGAACACATCGATCGAAGATTCAAGAAAATGAGAGCACAGATCCATCGAAAGGGCGAGGGTAAGCGGGGTTTCGGCAGTATAAGGGATAAGAGCACAGTGCCCAGATAGTTCAAGTAAGGCTTGGGGTCTCGTGTGAGGACGATGTTTTGTCCATTCCTCGCCAACCTATACTTCACCTCAAGTCTTATGTAGTTCGAAAAACATAAAAATAAACAAATCAGCAATGCACCGTTTTATTCAATCTATGCCACAGCATTCCTAACTCTTCCGAGGAACTCCCTCAAATATCGGCCGCTCCTTTTTATTGTTCGTTTTTTGTCCGTAGAGTCGTAATCAACCCTGAAAAAAACTCGCAGAATAAAATGCTAAAGTAATAATGAAAATGGAAAAGCTACCGATACAAGCCGAATCTCACTGCAAACCCATCGTGCCACTCGAAATTGTCCATCAACGACCAGACCGTGTATCCAATCACATTGCACCCTCTAGCTAGAGCTGAAACTTTTATTGTAATTACTTAAGGTCACAGTTCACGATAATTTTGGGTAACCCAGATTACGACGAAGAATGAAAAATAAGATGGAAAATGGTGCGATGGAGGCGAAGGAACTGCGTGGATCGGTATTTCGTAGTAAAAAAGGCTTCGAAAAGTCGTTAAAAAGGGGCTGGACGAGATTGAGACCAGAAAAATGAATAAGAGTGGGCATTTGGACGAGCTAGGCACAGTGCGTCATTGCATACGTGTGGGTCCTGGTGCAAATAACTGACTACAGTAAGTAAAAATTTATTCACGCAACCCATAAGCAAAAACAAAAAAAAACCCCTAGTTACAGCAAAAATAGCTCATCTTTTTCAGTCTCTTGGGGTAGGAAATTAAAAAAGGGATCGCGGCAGCAAAAAGAATAATAAAGGAAAAAGAATGGGAGAAAAACATCGTTTCATCACTCGGCGATCAGCTGATTGTGTGTGGGTCCTAGTACGAATATTTGCAATCTGTGTTGCCTCGACAGTCGTCTGACGTGACATCGATCGAGAGGCGTGAAAGCGACTCAAAACAGCGACAGGGCTTCCTTTATGCCCTACCCGTCGAGATTGTGGGAGGGACCCTTCTACCACCCTTGGGGGCCACTGAGTATTCCTGAGGGATGAACTCAGTAAGCATTTTATCGTGAACCGTGTCTACAAAAAAAACTGTGACGGAAAAGCCGACACCCGCGTTGAGAAGCTTTTAAAAAATCGAGAGAAAGCTCAACCTTACTACGGAACGGAACCCAAAAATAATGGACTCTACAATATTCAAAACTTTCGAATTGACTGCCGGGGGAATCGTGTGTACGATGGTGTCTACAAGGGCACCCTGTAAATTAGATGCTTGAATTTACCGCGTTCATGTACATCCTGCAAACTCAACTGACCCAATGAATGAAATAGGTTATGACTTGAGAGCCACTGAGAATGCGAAAGCGAGAGAGGTGGCGGTAGTGTAAGGGATAAATAGCGCGGTGCGTGGAGCGTCTGAAGAGAGTATAAGAACGTGCTCGAGTAGCGTCCAGGATCAAAGTTCAGCCCATAAAATGCCGATCATGTGAGGCTACTAAGAGGGGTTCTCAGAACGTAGGCGGTCATTTCCTTGCATTTTTTGGGCTGTTGTACTAACCTGCCGGGAGAAATTCTGAAGACATTGATTTCGCACTGTGTTCTCAATCGGTTCAGTGCTGCTCCTAGATTATAACCAGAGCATGTAATATCCCCCAAGACTTCCCTTTCCACTATTTAAGTACGCTGGACGCTTAGTATCAATGCGCGTAAGAGGAGAAATGTTCCGTTGAGGATATCCTCGACAAATTGAAAGAAGGCACGAGATGGGATGCGCCCCCACACTCGGGTTCAGAATAGAATAGCAGTGGCGTATTAATGCGCATGTGTCTACACAATGAATTTCGCTGATCTGCTGATAAACAAACCAGTCTCTCGTCCTTCCGGAAGAGGCTGGTACCAATTACCGGACCCCCACGGGTGTAAGACTTCCCTGACCAGGTCGATCCAGGATTTTACTCCGAACAGTAAGTGGAATAGGCCACGTTCACCTACACCACCTCCGTTCGTTATGATGAAAATTTTGATTCCAACATGACATACACGGATCATCATAAAGCTAATTGACAGCATTCGACACCGTTGTCGTAAAGAGAAACATCTGCGCCAGGAACCCAAAGCTAAATGACCTCTCATAGTAGTTCAGCAACATCAACCAACACTATTCACAGCGTACGCGACGACCGGAGGTACTTTTTCCTGAGCCAACTGAAACTACCGTTGTGAAGAACAAGAGAAGGGATCAGAAGGAGAAACGACAGCAAGAGGCTTCTGTGCTTGGTATCAGCCTAATGTCATATGAATCGCGCTACATATCATCCTGCTGCCTGTACCCCTTCCAAATTTGAACTCTTCGAACTCAGGAAACAGGGGCTATGAATTTCCGGTCAAACACATTCACAGACACGCACACCAACAGAAACCAACAGACACACTCAGCACATAGTAGTAGGATTATATTAAAAATGAGAAGTGATTCTATATTAGTCACAAAGAAAAAGGAAAGAAAACGCTAATACACATTGATTTTCTTTTCTCGAACCGTCCGCCCTGTTCCGCCCAAGCCCAAATACTACTTGCTGACCATTGATGGCTAACAAATTTGTTGATCGATTCCGGTTGTTCTGCTGAGAACAGAAAATAGTTTACCGTTTTTCACTGCTTCAATGTGTCCTTCAATATAACGAATGCGATGGTCGTCATTCAATGGTTCGATGCTTTCACTCTGGAAAAGAGGAATATAGAAAACTATTCGATATAGAAATGGAGAAAATGTGCCACTTCTTTTCCTATAATGTCCGAACAACCGTTTTCCGTGATCAGAACCGGAACCGCGTATTTTCTCTGAATGTATTCGAGAAGCTCTAGCAACCCTTCAGGTGCATAACGAAGCCACATTTGTTCGCCAGCGATCCTTGAATTGTGGATATAAAGAAAAAGTATGAAATAATGAAATAAATGTTTATTGAGCGCTTATGACTTCCAAAACTCACTTTTCCCATGAGCCTTCTAAGTAGTCAAAACCTGCATCTTTTTCCATTTGAAAGCGTCCTTCTCCCTTGCAGATTTCCTCCGTCAAATAATAGTTCAAACCAAGAAAATCAGCTGATCCTTGAATTGACTACTTTGTCGTGACAAAAAGAAACTGTCTCACGCCTGCAGTAATAGTTGTGGTTCTGGGTGGGACAGACGCTTACTGTCAGCCATTGTCAGGGGTAAACGAGTGTCCCGCAGTGTGGCACTGATTTCTTTACCTGGATGAGGTTGTACGCCTGTGAACATACCTTTGATCTCATTCATTTGCTCCTTCGTGAATCTGGGTAAAAGCTCGAGTCCTTCTTTCTCCTCCAAAGTTTTAATGTAAGATTTCATGGAGTCTGGATAGTCGCCATTGTTTCCAAAAATCGGATTCACTGTCCAGTTGAATTTCCAATCGAGAGCCCTCGAAACCGCCTCAATGTCGTCAATATCAGTGGAGAATGTCTTACACCATCGACCACCAACAGTGATTCCCAACTGACCTAGAATGTGTACCAGGATGTTGTCAATGCTAGGTCTTCCATTCTAGGGCTGCAAAGATACCATCCGGTTGATGAAACATACCTTGCTGAGTTTCCTTGAACTCTTGAGCATACATTCTGTAGACCTTGGCATGTGCAAGAAGCATATTATGGGTTGCAGCGTAAGGGATTTTCCTTGTTGGCATAGAAAACTCGACGGTATCGGGTGAGTGATGAAGTTGTCCTTCGATTTTTGTTATTCCCCACCAAGCATGCGCGGAAAGTTCGTTGAATGTAATCCAGTGTTTGACCTAGAACAACACATTTAGTGTATTCGTCAGATTCTCTCCGGAAGATTTCTATATTAATCGGAAGGTTCATTGATAAATGAAGAAAGAGTATTGAACGTTGAAATTAACGCGTCGACAGTAATAGAGCTCATGACCTCGAAAAGGAAATTCAAAATTGACATGAGACTGTTGAATGGGGAAGGTAAAATATTCCAACACAGTAAGGGCTCCGTGGACCTATGCTCCACGTTCATCTACTCATCAAGTGTCTTTTTTCCTGAATGGAGTTCGTGCTGTACTCCTTCAAAAACGAAGGCTATTAGGTGTGCGGAAAGTAAAAGCGGAAAAATGGCAAAATTTTTAATCACATTTTGTAATTCAGGAAAGCATTTCCAATAAACATCAACTACCTTCCGCCAACATCTTACGGAGCCACCGATCCTTTCGCATAGAACTAATATAGGTTAAGAGAGCTCGAATATGAGGGTGTGCGTTCTGTTTGAGATAATGCTGAAGCGATTAGAAAAGTGTAATCGTTCGAAGTCAGGGTCGGGCTGTACTTTGGGTGAAATATCCGAGCATTCCTGGCAATTGCTGTCATATGGTAGCCACTGCCGAGCTTTTCAAAAATCCGGGAGGTCTTCCAATTACACCACTATCCAAGGTGACTAGTGAACAGTTGAGGGTGGCAGCAACATTTCGTACCCCTTCATATGAATGTTGATCCGCTTATTTCTTCATTAAGCGACATCTTAGTAGGTGGACCAAAGGGAGACCAAAGTTCACGTTATTTGTTTCCTGCTCTGAGGCGTTGAAACCAGGCGGCAACAAACAGCTTTTAGAAGGGGCTTCAGAGCCAAATGATTAACAAGGCTCCGATAAGTACCGGCAGCCGTTTGGCCCGACTCGAACTCATGAAGGAGACATGTCAAATAGGGGTGGACAGTTTGCTCATTATGTGATTGAATGAGCAAGGAAGCGGCTGTTGTGCCAGGGTAGCGCCCTACAAGTATGAAAAATAACGGAAGAAACTAGGGGAAATCTGGACCAAGACGGATTTCCTGACAGATACTTTTCTCCCACCCTAATACTTCAGGCTGGGCTCCGTGTTTTGACAACTTCCACAGCGTTCTGAAGTGATTCAACCAATTCAACGACTCAGACCCAAAGTTTCTTATGTGTTTACTTGGCTTAGAAATATTTTAGTGATAAAGACGCCATGGGGCCTATGGAAAACCGACCAATCCCCTCGTATAGGTATTTCATCAGTCGGTATAGCGTCAGCTTTGCAATGGATCCTCCTTTTTTCATAGTTTACTACTACCAACAAGGCTGTTCAAAGGACAAGACGTGCTTGCTAAGCGCTTATATTTTCACCTTATCTTCATTACTTTCCACTGCAAAAAAACTAACGAAAGCGTAATAAATGACTCTAAAGTATACATTACTGAATTGCAAATCGAACTTGAATATCGCATACAAAGACTTACTACTTTATACCAGAAAATTATTTCATCTTTAAAGTCACTGTAAGAACTGAGTACCGCAACTAGTATTTTTCCCTTATGTTTATGCTTTTCTAAAATATAAAATGAAGTCTCACCAAATCTCCAAAGCGCTGAAAACAAAGACGACAGAAGTCATGAAACCAAAGAAGACATTCATCGTTTAGCCAACCACCTCTCTCATAAAGACAGTACGGATAGTCGGCATGAAACAGAGTGACCTAAACCCGAATCCTTTGGAAAAATTTCTCATGAATCATGTTTTGAAGGTAGTGGATATGATAATTTTTGTGTGAGCACAAGTGTAAGCTTAGTGGAAATGTTTCCTTGCCGAATTGTTCGAAATTCTTTTTTTTTTCAAAAACGTTACAAACTACGAAAAAAAGCGGTTCGCAACATCATCGATAGAGAAAGAAATTCAAATCAGTAGCAAAATAATTGGGAGCCGAACTATCCAGTTCAATTCAGACCTAGTTCAGCCTTCAATACATCTTATCATCGTGACAGTGGACGGGTTCGATTAAAAGCAAAAAATAGAAATTGGAGTCTGGTATGACAAGAATTTTAGGTATGCAACTGCGGTGAGGAAGAGGAAAGACAGTGGGGCGTCTCGGTGTCGCGAACGGCATCACCCTACGAGAACCAAAAACATCGAACTGTTTTGATAAACCCATTGAGATCACTTGCTAAGTGATTGGAGGGGGACCATCCGGCCTACCTTGAATTTTTGCTATCGATTGTTCATTTGTTACAATCATTAAAATTCTCATCAGCACGTGAATAGGAAATCATCCACTCATTTACTTACCTTGTGCCACAAATGTAGATTTTTCAATGAAGAATTTACAAACAAGAAGTAACTGGGAACTAACTATTGGAGAGATGCCATTTTTTGTGAGTTCTTCTAATAAGCTGCGGTAAAAAGTGATTCCTTTTTCGTTCACGACAGAGAGGTCCCCTTTTGGAAGGATTCGCGACCAACATATTGACAGTCTATAGTGAGTTACCTGAAAAGATTATAGCACAACGAGACCAAGGAGTAATTCTCTATACAGCACCAATACTCTTCGAAGGCACAGTTCACGATAAAAATGGTTTCTGAGATTTCTCTATAGCATGAATTCGAGGCTCCCCATTATACCATACCTGTCGTTATAAGGGCAAAAAATGTCTTGGATAGGGCACAATAAGGAACCAGAGGTTGTATGTCACACCCCTGGTGGACGAGTTTCAACGGCTATGTAGAGGCTGCACCATTCACGAGGTAACCAATGTTGGAAGTTCAAACAACTTATCATGAACCATAGCGACAGTGAAAGGCAATTTCGGACAGTCACAGTTTGATTTAGTCAGCACTGTGCACGATGGGAGCGAGTTCAATCTCGTCCAAAACCCCTTACATGCCATTTCCGACGCGGTGACCTCGTACGATCTCCACTTCCACTACTTTCAAAAAGCTTCAAGTAGGCAGGTTCTTTCTCTTTCTTCGCCACCTATGTACTCCTCTACATCAACACCTCCGCTTTTCAACCCAAGAAGGGTGCCTCAAAATTATCGTGGACTGTGCCTTTAACTATCATTTCATCTCTTCGAACTCCACAAACGTTATAAGATCGTCTCTAACTCTTGTTCAATTCACACAATTAAGTATTCAATGATTTATTGCCAAAAGGTGGTCGATGTACTATTGATTTTCATGGCTCAGAACGTAAGAAACCGATCATTAAACCAGTCGCGTTATCTTGAGTGCGCCAGCTATCGCCACTATCACAAGAATCGTCAGCGTGTTTTCTCGCTTAGTCAGTCGAACGGCGCTGAAGGAGTGCTAGGTTTGTATACTGCCGTGACACAGACATCAGGTATTATTCCACTCCTTTGCCGGGCATTACGTTGCTTCAGATGTCAAGCTCATCTGATTGTTGGCAGGGAAGTTTTTCTTTCCAATAGTTGCCGTATTGACAATCAAGAGTTCACAGAACTTTTATTGTTCGCTGCCATTTCAGGGAATAAGGGTTATAATTGTAGATGTTGCCTATGGTTACTGAAAATTTAGAAAGCATTCTTGCTGCTAGATGTAACCGTCATTTGGCATTGGGGTAATTTCAGCAGGTCAGCAGGGAAAAAATTGTGTAGACTGCTAGCCAAGAGGGGTGAGATTTTTTGGAATTCCAACACGATGAAAAAATCAGCACATTTTTTCGATACATATCTCATGTTTTTGCGTTGGAGCAATCTATCAGCACATTTTTTCGATACATATCTCATGTTTTTGAGTTGGGGCAATCTAAGTTGTCAGATGAGAAAGTTAACAACTTTGTGAAGAAGAACCAAGGTAATTAGGAGGTGTTGATTTGGGTAGATTTGTTGATTATTACAAGCAGAAAACTCAAAAAAAATCAATAGAAAGTATGTAAGCGCATCTGAAATAAAACCTTCTCTAGAAATATGAGCGTCATAGCGTATCTTGGAGTGCGACACGATTGTTCAAAATGGTAAAATAAGTTTAGGGGCGAAACGAGGTGTGAAAAGACGCCAAGTGTTGTGTGTACTTGCTAGGAAGCAGTACAGATGCATGATCCTTAGAGCTTTTAGCCAACAAGCTTTTAGCAATAGTAAATTGCACTAATGACTGGGTAAAAATGAACCTGAAGATCTTTGATCAATTGCACGTCTTCCTTGTAATGATGATAATGTTCACAGCTGAGCTCAGGGGGTGAATCATCTGCGATCCGTCCTGGTTGACGACGAATCACATCCCATATAGACAATCCTCGACCTTCAAGAAAGCTGTATTCTATGTAATTCTCGATTTCATTAATTGTAATTGTAATTAATTGTAATTAATTTCATTCATTGTAATTCATGTTTACTAGGGGTGCAATCATATGTGAATAAGAATCAAGAGTGGTTAATAAATTAATGTTCAAGTCGATCAAGGAAAGAAGTGTAAAAGGAAAAGTTGACAAGAAAAGTTTTGCAGCCATTTCTGTGTGTGAGCCAACGTTCCGAATTATTGAGCGAGAAAGAGAATTTACCGTCTTCGTCGTTGGCTCCTTCGACTTGATAGCTCGCAGTTGCTATGGCCCAGATGAAGTTTTTCGGAAATTCGGTCATATTGACACTCCAGTAGGTCTGCAATCGCTACAGAACCAGTTATTCTAGTGGAGTCACCGAATCAATGTTGTTGAGAAAGGTTTCGATTGCTGTTGCATGTAAAAGGTCATCGCCTTGACCGCAGACCGCATAAACAAACAAAAAAAGGGTCAGCGAACGTCGCCGCGTTATCAATGGTTATTTCATGACAAATGATTAGCGCTATGTTTTATGTGTCAGATCAGTAGGATGAGCGATGCTATTCTTACAGCATTCCGAGGGCATTAATAAGAGTGGATAAGTAGCTCTCTTCTTGAATGGGGAGCGCGCTTACATTGGCTATTGACAGGATTTCGTCGTGATAAGTACTTTCAAGGACACATAAAAGTAGAAGCTTCTATGATTATTCAGAGTTGTCGGAGGGTCCCGACAAGACTTCCAAAAAAACCATTCGATTTTGCAAATCAGAATTTTCATCATCACACATAGATAGCACCAACAATGTTCGTAAGTCACCTGTATCATCAGCCGCCCCGTTTATCATCGATTTCCTCGAGTGAGTGCTTAATGTCTACATTCGTGTCTAGGGCGAGCCGGCGAGTATGTTGGATTGTTCTGGCTCCAAAAAATGAGGCATGCCATCCCTTCAGTTCAGTCCTCTCGTGAAGACTGAGACTCAAAAAACTGAGGAACAAGCATAAGCACGACCCCCCGCGTTTTTTTTTGTCTTTTGTTAAATTCACGCAGCCTAGTCAAAAAACTTTCCGAATTCCATCATCTCCTTTCTACCCACAAACCCATGGGCGCATTTGTGACCGAAACGTGGCTTAGCTCTAAAATCGATGATAGTGAAATCACCTCGGGGTTACCTTACTTAATTGTGAGAAAAGACAGACGAGGGAGGAGAGGGGGTGGAGTATGTATTTTACTCCAAAGTCAGACTGATTTCAAGCTGGTAAAATTTGATAATCCTAAACTTTCAGCGGATGTTCTTTGTATTGACGTTTTGAATAGTAGTCTTTGCTATACTCGCTTTGTACTCGTATATCGCCCTCCTAGTCACAGTCTTGCTGAGGATGTCGAGCTCTGTGACCTCCTATCCGATCTGTGTTCTGTGACGTGGAATATTGTTCTACTTGGTGATTTTAAACTAGATATCGATTGGTCAATTGCTCAGGCACCCTCTCCAAGACAAAGCAGATCTAGCCGTTTTACCGCGCTTTTCACTCATCTTGGACTTGTACAACATATCAAAGAGCCTACGTGTGGTCAGTCCATCTTAGATCTTGTGCTCACTCTCCCTGATACAGGATCCGATTTTGTGATTGGACTTCCTTTGGGTACGTCTGATCATAACATTGTGACCTTCCTTGTGGACGCGCCATTTCAGAATCAGAATCTGCCCGCGCTTAAAGACTTCTCTAGATTAAATAAGGACGCGATCAATTCTGAACTTGATAGAGTAAATTGGCTTGGCATATTCAATAAGTTTGTGTCCATAGATGATGTTTATGATCGATTTCTCACTGTTGTTCATTCGCTAATTAATCGCTTTGTTCCTGTGAGAAGAATGGTGCACGCTTTTGAGAGGTATCCGCAGCACATAAAAAATCTGTTTAGACAAAACGGTTGTTCGATCACCTCGAGGACCCTCTATCCTCTGTCGAGTATAATCGAGTCAGCAAAGATTTTGCGCTTCATCTTAAACGTTATCTTGCCTCCAAAGAAAAGAGGCTTTCCGGTTGCCGTAATATGAAAAATTTATATTCGTATGTTATTAAGCGCTTAGGCAAAAAGTAAGCTTTTCCGCTTAGCTGATTCTGATGGCCGTGCTATATCCACTGACTGTGACAAAGCCAACGTTTTGGCTGACTACTTTGCCACCGTTTTTTCGCCCTGTGACACTTCAGCCGATAACATTCCTTCTCGTGTCGATGGTGAGTGCCCCCTACCAATTATCGACCCCTACCTTGTTGACAAACACTTACGTAAAATAAAAAGTTCTTCCTCGTTGAAGGAATTCCGGCCATCTTCTACAAAACCTTTGCAAGGAAACTCGCTGCTCCCTTGTGCCATATTTTCAATATATCTCTCATGACGAGAGAGGTGCCTACCCTGTGGAAACAATCTATAGTCACAGCGATACCCAAAAAGCTTCTNTCTGCTTCAAAACCTGGTGAGTTCAGACCCATCAGTATTACACCGACCCCTTGCAAAGTTATGGAGAGAATTCTGAAAGCAGGCTTATTAAATTGGCTTGAGAAACATGACCTCATTCCGCGCGAACAGTTTGGGTTCATCAAGAACTCATCTACGGCACTGCAGCTTCTTGAATGCACCCACTTATGGATGGAAGCACTTAACCTTTCGAAAAACGTAGGGATCATTTATTTTGATCTCAGTAAGGCGTTTGACACTGTGAACCGGGAGGCTCTTAAAAAAAACTACAAAGCCTCGGGATTAGAGGTGGTCTATATAGCTGGCTTGAGTCCTACCTTACTAACCGTGGCTTCGTCGTGAATGTGCATGGCAGCCTTTCAGAGAGGAAGGACTGCCTCTCGGGAGTACCCCAGGGAAGTGTTCTATCCCCGTTGTTGTTTCTAATATATACAATGGATCTTCCTTCGATGCTTGCACTGGGCCACGACATCAAGGTGTACGCTTTTGCAGACGATATCAAGGCCTTTAATAGTTTTGGTTGTGACCAATCAGATAGTGTGGGAGCCCTGATAAGCGATGTTCTGCTCCGTATGTCTTTATGGGCTCGAGAATGGGGTCTTAAGCTCAACCTTGCAAAAATTTGTGTACTTACTTTGGGAAAGAGAGTGCCTGATCGTTAATCAGGCTCGTGATCTTGGTGTAACCATATCCAGCTCGAAAAATGGGAAACTCACATTAAAGGTATAGTATCCGAAGCTTTTCGGTGCCTGTACAGCTTGTTTAGGATTGTTAAGTCGTCTGACCTTACAATCCTAATTAGGCTATACAAGGCTTACGTTCTTCCCATTCTTGAATACTCCAGTCAGGTCTGGAACCCCCAATCTAAAAAGTTTATTGACTTCATCGAGAAAGTGCAAATTATTTTCACAAGGCTAGTTTATTATCGAGTATTTCCAGATCCAGGCTATCCTAGGCCCTTGCCGCCTTACAGGATACGGCTTAGAGAGATTGATTGAGGAGCCTCTTGTATAGGCAGACTTTCGCTGATTTAGTCTAAGCTTTCAGAATACTCAGAGGTAAGTCTCGTCTTACTCCTTCCAAATTCTGGCGACTCAAATCTTCATCTCTTAGAATACCGTGCTTAAACATATATGTTTCCAGATCTCTGTATCGCGGTCGATACTTTAATGACATTTACAGAAAATCGTTCTTCTGCAGGACATCAGTCTGGCTGAATAAATTGCCCTTGAATATTCTTATGAACGATAGGGTCTCATCATTCAAACAAGCACTGCTGAAACTTGATTTTATGAAGTTGCTTGGGATTGCTGACTTTTAATGTTGCATCCTTTGTTGTCGTTATCAATCTTCGTGTATTTAACATGTTTTTCCAGTAGTCCTTCTCACGGAGTTGCATTATGTTAACTTTTCTTGGTATTTTTGCGTTGGTCTGTTTTTTTTNTTTTTTTTCCCTTTCCACTAACACCTACGGTCGAATGCCCACATTGGTGAGATTAACCGCCAGTTTGTCAGAGAGAGGTTCTTCTTCTTTTTTTGTTCTCTGCTTATCTTGCGCATGAAATCTTGCCATACTGTTATGTTGCATGCCTAGCCTAAGCACTAATTGCTTCATATTCGGCTAAGTTAAATTAGTTTGCTTATTTCGGCCATTTCTTGGTCAATAACGGCTTATACTAGTCGCTAACATGTGTTTCATAGGGGACTACGTCGTTTCCACTTAGTTGATTACTGTGGAGCACTACCGAGCCAGCGTGATGGGTCCGTGTTTAGGTCAATGAGGTGCAGTTGCACCCGCCCGCATGTTGCGCCTCGGGCTTGGTTATCTTCATGGCTCTCAACTAGGTCGGTCATTGAGATCCTCCCCATTTTGCGGCTCTGACTAATTTGACATCTTTCCCTTTTCTTCTGGCTACAAGCATGCACTGTTATGGGAGATTTATATGCTCTTATTCTTCCGATTTCTCTAGAAATGAAGAACCTCTTTCTATTCTATTTCTAGGGTCATGTACTTGGACACCGGTCGTGCAACGATAATAAATAATAAATAAATAAAGAAGCTTGACCATCGCTCCTTTGGCCGTTCTCGTATTTAATTGACGCTCATAAAGAATCAGTCAATTGCCAACCCGGTTCACAGCTAATTACAATACTGAAGAGCGCGTCCGGCCCACCTGATCTTCTATTCCTCAGCGTATGCAGCAGCATCCGCAATTTACGTTCGTTTACGGAACTCGGATTTTTGAATTCCGTTCTGCACTTGTGCGCATCGGCAAATTTCGATCATCGATCGTTTCACGCGCGCCGCATGCTCATTCTGCTTTCGTAGAGTCTAAGTCTCTGACGCTCATGTCTAGGCAGGAAAGACCGCAGCTTCGAAAAGATGATCGCGGAGCAGTATGTTCCTTGCCTCCTAGATTGTTCCTTAAATGTTTTCAAATGCTCCTCAGGCAGTGCTTTCCCTTGTTCTCAGCTCCGGAGCAGTGCGGCTCATCGTGTTGACTTCTCGACCCAGATACACGTAACTATTCAGGATAGAGCATTCATAGATATTCGTTCCCGAGAGCATGATGAGCGGATACCATTGCCTCCGTTAGGTCCACTCTCAAGCCGACATCACCGACATGAACTGCCGAATCCGCGCAGTGTTCGAAGCACCTGCGCGATTTTTGGGATTACTACCACGATGTCGTCTGCAAAGCAGAGGTGATGTAAGTAGCAGCCGCCTACCTTCACTCCCAAATTTCCTATTTAAAATTACGCATGGTCTTCTCGGGAGCGGCACTGAAATGTTTGGGCGAGATCGAGTCGCCCTGCTGAACCGCTCCCTTCACGTTGGTGTTCTTGTATGT